GTCACAGATGCTGGTAAGAATTCAGTGAAAGTTTTTAATCAGAAGTCAACTTCTCTGTGAGCAGAAACTCTGGATTTTGGAGTCTGGGCTAAACTGCACCATCACGAGATGGCAGACGGTCTTATGACTGTGAGTGTGTGTGAGTGAGACAGAGAGACTGCTGACCATAAACAACACATTCATTCAAACCTACTGTGAATGCTGAGTCAGCGTTCATAGTATTGTCTTCCTGTTTGTGGTGTCTTCTCTAGATTTTTTTTTTTTTTTACTAACGCTGATTGGGAATAGTTTGCTATAATTGTTTTTGTTTTCGTATCATTTATATATGTCAAAAATAACTTATTAAAATATAATGAGAGCTAATATATCAGGAAGATATGTTGTTGTGCACCGACCTGCATTTGCACCAACACAAAGTTGAATATACAACTAAAGTGAGTGCATCCCAGCAGTAAGCAACAGTTAGTATCTTACCTGCAGTAAACAGCAGTCGGTTTCTTACCTGAAGTAGCAGTCAGTATCTTACCTGCAGTAAGCAGCAGTCAGTATTTTACCTGGAGAATCAGAGAGACAAGCTAGACTTATTAAAGAGCACACATCCATCATCTAAAACTGATCAAAGTTAGATGTTTTTTTAATATTTAAAGCAAATKCATCTGACAGCTATTAGACTGTTGTTTTATTAGAGTTGCTGAGTGTCTTGTAAAATACAAAACTGTGTTTCTTATTTTAACCCTTAGCAGTTAAAAATACATGTTTTTGACTGTTTCAACAATTTCCTTTTAAAATTATGGTTTATCCACATCAGATCATGCAGGTTTGGTTTAAATAATCGACTTTTACATCTTGTGTTTATGAAAGCAGAGGAACCAGAAGCCAAACCCATATGAAAATACCCACAATGCAGCCGTGCAACTCATCAGAAATTATGGGTTTTATTACCTGAACCTGCATGTCTTCTTTTCACAAAGCAGTCTGCAGAGTCCTCGCTGTAGGAAATCCTGTGCTCATGTAATCCAATTTACTTTTGCTCATATTATTCAAAMCGGATCACTGTGTTCACGTTAAGCTTGCAGCAGCAGCTCTTTGAAAACAAGCAACAGTGGAAGAGTTTCAGTGTTTGATGTGCTGAGTCATTTGATTCAACATTTATTATTATTAAAAAAAAAACTGTGGTCATATTGCAGTCCGTTAGATAACATTGTAGGCTCCAGAAGCCAATAATGCAGAGTCGGCAATGCATTTGCAGTAAATAAAGGTAAACTGTAGTGTGTGCAGCAGCTCCCATGCTCTTGCATCTTACTCCATTTKTGTTAATATAAATATACGGTTGTGCATTCACTAAAAGCATGTGCACAAATGGTTTCTGTAGTAAAAACAGAAGTGATTGGATGTTGTGTTACCATGTGAAAACTGTGACTATAAATTTTAAGCACATAAATTGAAAAAAACTGAGGCTTCATTCTTCCTGGGCTGATCCAGCAGAGCATGTTCAAATCACCCACTTCTGTGAAACTTTTGAGRCTGTTTATTTATTTATTTATTTATTTTTTTGTGGAAGTGAACTGCATTAGATTTGACCTTTTCCACACTCGCTTTTTTTCCCCAAATAAAAATACCTTGAACTTATTCTGCTTTGTCTCCCAAAGCCTTTAAAGGAGTTTGCAGGGTTTTTATTGTCTTGCATCATGCCCCTTTTATCCCATTAACACTGTGAAAGAAGAAAAGGGGCCGGGGAAGCTGTGGAGGTGGCTACTTGAATCTTTGGCACAATGAGGCGGTCACAAAAGTGTTATGAATCTTTAATGGGAGATGCTGCCGTACCAAGGAGAGGAAATGTGCTGAAAACGTGATTATGGACTCCTGGGGAGGAGGAGATTGTTGTCCAAGAGAGAAAGAGATAGAAATTTTAAGCAAGGCGGTGAGAACAAAKGAATTTGGAAGGGCAAAGGAGGTAAAGAGAAACCAATTTCATCCTTTTTCTTTTTCCACTTGGAATGCTTGAGGCAAAAACATGTTTTCACATCTTCAGTCAACCACAGCATCCAGTGCCCATGAAAAGTTTATGCTGTGTTAGAAAAGTTTAGATTTACAACATTTTCTTGGACAGAAAAGCACTGCAGAGGAACAGGCATAAAGSAGATCGGCAGTCTCGGGTTGCATGTGTTGAAATGGATTCGTGGACCAGCTTTGTGTTTAAAGTTAAAAGAATGGCCCTCCGTCTACAGCATCACAGTGCCCGTCTGAGTGTGACAGCACGGCTTCACTTTCACTGCTCAACACTGTGCAGCCTGTCACTCATTCTGCAAAGTGATTGCTTCATCTGACTGTCTGCCCCTGGTGTCATCTGTGATTAAAGTTTATATAAATCAGTCGATGCGGCCGGTGGCCTGAACAGATTCAGTCACAGAATGAAGGTGCATCACGGCCGCAGCAGCACACACTGAAGTTAGCGAGGTTAAAGCCAAGATATGACAGGTGGTGATGAATAAAATAATTTTTTTTAATGAAAATAGCAACATAATCAAATAAAGGTCTAGAATTGATTAAAGGAATGCATATCACCTGCTGCCTTTCATGCCAGACTTTAAAGATAATCTTGTGTTTTTATTATTCCACCACACCAAATATGAGTTCAACAACAGTTAATTCAGATTTATTTTGAGTTGGCTAAAGTCAGTTAGCTGTGGTGGCCATCTTTAAGTGGGTCGACTCCAAAAATACTCAGTGACAGATGTATTTCCACTGATTACCCACACTGTGACCCCTACTGGAAAAAGAAAATTTGAACTTTGTTTYTGACTGAATAATCAAACCTGGTTCTTTTTAATACAACTATTTGCTCTCTCCTTCTGTTTCCTAATCTTTGAAATAGATTTTTGTCAGGTTTTATTCTCCTTCAGACTGAGTGAGGAAATCCTTTTGTCCACCACAACCTGAGAATTTGTGCCACAACTAAAGTCATCAATGCTTTTATTAAAGCTCATTTCACATATTTCTGTCAGATCAGTTTGGTCCCTTGGTTCACATTTCTATCCAGCTTGGCAACAAACCCTTGATCCTCCTAATGGGATATACTCTTTTGAAACAGAACACAAATTTAAATTTTTGTTTTTCAGGGTTTCTTATTTATTTATTTGTTTTTATTTAATAATTTGTATATAGCATGTATATATATATATATATATGTATATATGTA